ACTTTAAAACACAGAAATCAACTTTTAACACAAAGGGAAGATCTAAGCAACACTCAGGGTCATATTCAACATTTTGGACCCTTTCTTCAACTACCACAAACATGTGAACTTATTTTCATTTATTTCATACTCTTTTTTCTTTCTTTTCACAACTTTTTATTTTCTTTTTTTTTTTCCACGAAATTCTTTTTTTTTTTTTTTTTTTCTTTTCCACCCGTGCCTATGGCACACTAACTCACATGAAAACTACTTCCCCCACACTTGTTTTCTGCCATACATTAAATAAAAGGAGTTCAATTCAAATCATGCTTTGCTATGCTTCAAGAATAAGGGTGTGGATTGTCCTAAACTAGGCTAGGTGAGGATAATGTGGGTTAACAAAGAATAAAGGCTAAACAAAGCTCAACGGGGGTAAAACTTACAACATATACGAAATATGGGAAGTGAGGCTATTTGGCTATGGTGGCAACTACACAACTTCATCTTGATATATGTTATGCAATTCAATGTCATGCTTTGAATGAAACGGATATAAGTTCTAGCATTTAGTTCTATCATGATACAATTGCATTCTAAGTAGCAACCAAGCAAGGAATAATGAGATCATGCAACAACTCTAGAAAACAAAGAATCACAGATTATAACTCTCCAAAGAAGGTAATGGCTCGAGTCTCACAGGGTTGTAGCGTTTGTTTGAGTTCCTTCCTTCAAGCATGTTACAAAAACAAATTTTTCTTATATGATTTCATGTGAAGTCATACATTATAACCATAACCAAGCATATACCAAGAGTAAATTAAACTTTTTTCTATGTTTATAACTCTTTTTAACAGTCATGCAATTACAAACCAAATCCTTATCATTTTGTTGGAAGGTACCCTAAGACATAAACACAAAAAACGACTCAAAACACTCTTTTTAGGCTTTTCAAAACATGTTTTCAAATTTTTATGTGATTTTCGGAGTTATAAAAATAAAACATACTAAAACACTCTAAAACAACTTAAAAACACCTTAAAACAGCAAGGAACAACATTTGAAGTTATGGGTGATAAAATCCCACGAATTTGCATCAAATATACTTAGTTACCCCCCCCACACTTAAATCAAACATTGTCCTCAATGTTGTAAGCATAGATTCACACAAAACATAAGTAAACACACAAAAAAAAACTTAAACATACTAAATATGGCAGAATGTAACTAACAAAGAGAAGAGTTTAGGGACGCAAATCTGGTTATGGAGTGTAAATTCCATCTTCTCCTTGGTAATTGCATTGAGGCTTGATCTTGAGTTTTTCCACAGGCTAATCTTGAACAGGGCTGGAGGATTTTGACACATGGCAGGCAAGCACGAGGTGGAGGTGATGACCGGTTTCTTTGTTCAATCTTTCCAATTCGTATTGAAGAGGGTTAGAGGATAACTCAGCATATGCAGTTGTTGCGTTTGCTGACTATCCACAAGATTGATGTTTCCTCGTCACTCGTCTTAGCTGTTCTCCAAGCAGATGTGGTCCCTTCTCTGGAAGTGTATCAACCTTTGAAGATGACTACTCGAGAGCAACACTAGGTAAGCAACCAGGGAATAGATTCCAGGTAGTCGGTTCCAGATCGAAAGACTGACTCCAAGTGCCGGCTGATTGCTCACTTTACTTTGCCATGCGAGTAATAACAAGGACAAAGGAAAGGACAGGGAAAGATCATGATATGAGATACCTTTGCTTTCGCCCTTGATGATATGAGATACTTTTGCTTTTGCAGAAGCAGCGAATGAATCAGCACATATATTTGTTGCGCTTGTCTCCACATGCTTCGATCCACCGTTTCCTCTTGCCTCATCTGTACTCCAGGCATCTGGTATCTTCTTTGGGGGATACATCAATGGTTGAATATGTGTTCTCAAGAGAAGAAGAAAACTGAGCACGTTTGAGAGGTTTGGTTGCATCTACATTTTCGGCCGAGAAGAAGAGTCATGCGTTTTTAGGTGTATGCCTTGCCATGGATGTTGATGTATATAGGAATTGTAATGGCAAGTGGCAGTGCGGATGCGGCAATGACCTCCACGCGTTTTCAGCTTTGTCAGAGAGCTTTTGACAAAGTGGCACGCGTTTTCTGAAAAGCCGGGATTTCGGCTTTGTCACCCACGCTTGGCGGCAAAAGTGTGTAGCTGCTTTCTCGGCCTCCACACGTCTTCAACTTTGTCAGAAAGCTTTTGACAAAGTTACACGCTTTATCTGAAAAGCCGGGATTGCGTCTGAAGAGCTGGCGAACTTTACGCCGGAAAATCCGGCTTTGAAGAGTGGTGTCTCTTCATTTCTGAGTCAGTGATTGTGTCGCCTCTCCTTTAATAGAGGTGATCGATCACCTCTAACATGCAAACTTTGAAAATTGCCCAAAAATCGTCTCCGGCCCGTTGAGATTTTACTCCATCCAACCCTTCTCTTTTAACTTCTTGAAAAATGGCTAACTCTTCTAACCCATCTAACCTTTGCTTAGATTTGAGTCTCAGCAGTGATCCGGTTGCGCCTCGTCAGGGTAAGGTATGGTGCCCGTCTTTCTTATCTTCTCATGGCCCTCTTACAGGTGAAGACTCTGTGATGACGGATGCAACAACAGCTATGATAGTAGCTCGGAACCTCCTCACTCCCAAAGATAGTCAGCTGCTTTCAGGACGGTCTGATGAGTTGGCCGTTCAAGAGTCCCTGGCTCTCAGTGTTCAGTGCGCGGGCTCTGTGTCCAACATGGGTCAACGCCTACTTGCTCGATCCCGTCAGGTTGAATCATTGATGGCAGAGGTGGAAAATCTCAAGCAAGAGATCAAACAGCTTAAGCACGAGAATAGAAGTTTGCACGTGCTTGCAAATAATTATTCGACAGGCATGAAGAGGAAGCTTGATGAGATGCAAGAATCTCAAGGTCGAATGCAAAGTGACCGTCAAAGGCTTGCGTCTTTCTTCCAAAGGCACCTTTTTCCTGGGTCATCCAGCGTTCCGCCAAGTATTGAGGCCTCGAATGCTCTATCTCCGATGCCTCCTGCTCTGATGCCTCCTGCTCCGATGCCTTCCGCTCCGATGCCTCCTGCTCCGATGCCTCGTAGTGGGGCTTCACGTAAACATCCTTTGTGAAGGCTCCATCCATTCATACACATTTTTTTTTTTATTGCACGGCATGAAATTGATCTTTGAATGGGAGGTGATACTTGAGATGATCCGTTAATGGTTTAAATTCTAGAGTGGATGCCTAAATCATTAACAACATATTAGTATAAAAGAAAATTGAAATTCGAGGAGGCGGCTTACCTGTGTGCTTCGAAATGAACTCAAGAATAAACACATCTTCTTTGAATATTTCAGGAACCTTGCCCTTGGACAGACTATGTGTGAGGATTGTTCCTTGTCCTTTGTCATAAAATTCAACTTCTTTGGGGTTGTTTATCTCAAGAACGTCCTCTTTGATGAATTCTTGATATTCCATGCTTTGCACCTTTAGAAGGCCTTCCAATATGTCTTTTTCACTTTCTTCTTCCTTGGAAGTCATGAATATGCAAGAAATAGGGACATTAGGTGGAATGGGGTTACCACTAATTAAATTTGGAACAACCTTACTTGAATTAGATGGCGTAGGAGCAATAGGTGCCTCCGGCAAAGGTGTTTCCACCCTAGCCGTGGCTTGGGTCTCTTCCTCGTGATTTGATTTTGATGGTTGAGGGTCCGTTCCAACCTCCTTGCCACTTCTTAACATGATAGCTTTGGTGGTTTCAAATCCTTCCTTCGGATTTACAATGGTTGAACTAGGGATTTTGCCTTGGTCGCAAAATTGTCCTACAAACTCCGCTATCTGCCCAATTTGCTTTTCCAAGTGGTCCAACCTTTTGTCTTGATTTTGCATTGATTTTTCTTGAGTTTGGATTTCATTGCTTTGGGCAGGTTGTGGTGGCTGCATAGGCGTTGAATAGAACTCCTCATATGGCTGCCAATATTCTCCTTGTTGAGCCTCATTGGCTTGATTTTGTGAGCCCTACACCAAAAAAATTAATTCATTAAGCTTTTGATTATAATCTATTGACGAACTTGAGTTTGGTTGGGCATATTGAATATGAGGTTGTGGTAGGTGCATAGGTTTTGAATAGAACTCCTCATATGGCTGCCAATATCCTTCTTCTTGAACATGTTGAGGTTCCCACCATATAGAGTTTGAATGATCATTCCAATCTGAATTGTAAGTATTGGAAAACACGTTATTCCTTGATTAAAGATCAAATATATCAACGCTTTGCATTTGGGACCTTTCCATGAGCTGTGACAATAGAGAAGCATTATCAAGTGCCATGTTGTGCTTCTCTAGTACTTGAATTCAACAAACAAAATACAAATAAAAAAAACTAAAACTAAAATACATAACAGAAACGAACAATCCAAGGGATTAGCAAATTAAAATCCAAAATAAAATAGAAAATGGTAGTAGTAGGCCGATACTCGTGCCTGACAAATGCGCATATCCCTAATAATTAATTATAAAAGCCACATTAGAACATAACAATTTTTTTTTACAGAATTGTGATGGAAGGGTCATATTGATTTGCAACACCTATTTTCAAGCACTACATTCATTGATTTTCAATTTTAAGGACCATCTTGATTGTGTGGGTCAATTTCTGGGACCATCTTGATGGTGTGAGTCAATTTCAAGGATTATTTGTGATAAAAACTCGTAAATCTTGTGAGATCCATTTATGTGTCACATGACTACTTAAACGGAATTTTTAACAGAATTGCGACGGAAGGATCACATTGATTTGCTATACCTATTTTCAAAAACTACATTAATTAATTTTCAATATCAAAAAGGTAAAAGTAAATTTCAAAAATTATTTGTGATAAAAACCCACCCCAAAATAGAAAATGGCAGAAGTACCCCATACTCGTGCCGTGCCCGTAAAGTGCGCATCTCCCCAATAATTAACGGGTATTTCCGCAATTTCGCTCTATGTTTTATTACTATATTAGACATGCGCTCAGCACTTGATCAAAAGTTTGTTTAATTAATTAATAGAGGCAAATGCCGATTGGGGTGTCGATGTTTGAATTGAAATCAAAGCAGTCGCTAATAATACTTCCTCTAATACTTGCAGTTGCAGTTTCTCTGTATCTCTCCGTCAATTTTACACAATCCAGACCAAAAGCAATCAGTCCATCTGGGTCTGAAGAAGGATCTCCCATGGCCGCCAACGAATTTGGTGTAACAGTTGAAAAGAATCCTACTCAGTCCAAGCTCACTGAGCTAGGAGTCGCAACTTGGCCCAAGTACGTAATTCTTCATCTTCCATTGTCTTATCTTTTACCTTCCAAGTGTTTAAGCTTCAAAAATATATGCGCTGGAAAAAAGAAATAATTTGTGTGTTTATATGATCCAGTGAGAAAATTGGGTGATGCGTTTGTTTCGGTTCACTGTGAGAAATTTTTTATGGTTTTTGAGGATGGATTAGAGAAATCAGACCATTTCAGAGACTTGGTAGGATTTTTTTTCCCCTTTATGTTTCTCTATGTTACTGCTAGTTCATTGTTTGGAAGAAAGATTTCAACTTTTTGATGTTTTAATTTGGCATCCCTTTTCGCAATGTTGGTAAAGCCCTAAAATATTTTTTACCCAACTTGAAAATTTGTAAAGCCATGGGTCACAAGTAGGCTTTGAATATGATTGGATCAAGAGATGCATGCTGGAAGCTTGGGGAAAAAAGTTTAATGTTACATTTGAAACCAGCCACCCTGCGAAATTATTCGATTTGATCAGAAGCATGGAAATTAGGACTGAAATAGATTAAAAATCATGCGGTCCATGCGATCTCGTTGATGCTTCAATTTTGTGTTATTTGAAGGATTATTTCATTTCGAATAGTTATTTATTAAATCGGTGGATAGGAGTATACTCTGGATTGGAATTGTGTCATGGGAGAAGAAGCATGGTATATTACATCCAGGAAACAGATAGTTCCCTTCTTAAAGTTATCGACTATTGGGCTTCCATGCCCTCCTGTCATTTAGTGGCTGGCTACAGTGGACGTACTGTATGTAACCCCCATCCTCCTTCAATTACCTCTGCCAGCGGTCCTTGTCGGTTTTAGCTATGGTTGGTCTGTTTGTTTCTTCATTCAGTTTTGCTCTTTAGGCCTCATCTTGTCCTTCTGGGGAACACTTTGCCTCCCTGTTGTAAATGAAGTTCTATTAAGACAAGTTCATAGATGAAAGAGATATCACAGGTAATGAAGTCAACGTTAGCCGGTACAATGTTAGTTCAGAATAGGTTTTGATCATCTTTATTCAATTCTACAATTAGGTAGAGTTTGTTATCATCTGTTGGTTGTTAGGCTTAATATACTCAGAGTTGTATTATAAATACTTCTATTGTACACATCATTGATTAAGAAATGAAATCATTTTTGTCATATTTAATTAAGGTATGAATACCCTTGTGGACGGAAAAATTGTAAAAACCATGGCTCACACGGAGACTTATGAACACGATGGATAAATAGATGGGTCCTGGGAGCTGCAAATAACTTCGGGAAAGAAGGAAAAAAAAAACTATGTTACATTTGAGATCACCCTGTAATATTATTTAATTTCATCTGGAGCATGGAGAGTCGGAGTAAAAGAAGTTAGGTCAAATAATTTGATTGGATTCATCACGGAGAGTAGGACTGAAAGAAATATAACTGAGCACCAACCTCAATGAACACCCCATTCTCACTGCCACCGTGATATCCTTAATGCTTCAATTTTGTGTTATTGTGGAGAAGAAGTATGGTATATATAACATCCAGGTTATAGATCGTTCCTTAAAGTAATGGACAATGCTCGACAAGTTCATAGATTAATAAAGAAAATATAGGATGATATTGAATTTTTCTAGGAAGCTACATAGTGCCAAAATTCTGGCTGCAAGGATGTGAATTTGGCTATCATCAGGATGACACCTTTTTTTATTGCGTCCTTGCTATTGTTCTAGATTTGTAGGACAACTTACAAGCTTTCTCATTCGACTGTTAGTTTTAGTTAGACTGGTATATTGAGCTTTTGTTGAATAAAACCGCTTAATAATCATTCTTTTGAAGAATAGTGTGGAAACCTCGGGACTTTATGTTCATTGTGACAGAAAAGAAATAAGATCCGATACCTGCACATTTCATGTTTAATTTTTGTGCATCTTATATGTATGTTCATTGGGCGTTGAACAGGTGGAGTTGTGGTCCAAGCAAATTTCCATGGTCATTCAGTGCCACAGAGACCATGTATCTGCTGGAGGGAAAAGTGAACGTTGAAGTTGATGGGAAAGAAGGATCGTTCACAATCGGGGCTGGTGATTTTGTTGTGTTCCCTAAAGGAATGAAGGTCACTTGGGATGTCATTGAAGCTGTGAACAAGCATTATAGCTTGGAAGAGTGACGGATTTTATCTTTCAACTGATGTTGGTGTAGAATGCCATGTACTGACCTGATTGTACTGCCGATTTGCGTGATGTTCGTGTATTTTATGTATCTTGTGATGTTATTGTGAGTTACTGGACTCTTAGAGGGGATATATACTCTCGTGTTACATGCATAGATCGGCTTCGAACGTTATTCGATCTTGTCTGAAGACCAGCACAAGACTAAATAGGATAAATGGTCTTTTAAGCAGAAGATGGAGCAGCTGTTCTGTTTCATTAAATTCTGTTGCATCACAACATTATGTCTTTCTAGTTTTGCACAAAGTGTGGCTTTTGTGGTTTTCACATTTGTTTATCACCTTTACCTAATACGAAAATCCAAGATAATTTGTTACTATTTTGATCTGTTAAAGGATTTACACGAAATAGGGGCATCAAGTTGGCGATGTCCAAAACCAATCAGTGCGACTCGACATGTGAAATTTATAACATGTTGCAGGGTGCGTTAAGTTTGGACATGGTCACCCATGGTCCTTATTTCATGTAAATTTTTCCTATTGTTGTTGTGTATGCAACACTAGTGAAAATGGGTCTTCTGATTAACTTTTGGGGCTGTAGAATTTAGAGAATTTGATAATTTTGGCCTAGTTGGTGACTTGGAATACAAGTAGAATTGCACTTTTTTCGTCTATAAAAGTGATTGGCTAATTTTATATGTGCTTAGGTGGGTTTAAAGATGTGGGACATGATTTATGCACATCTTTTTTCACTTCATTCACTTTTCTTTTTTAATTATTAAATCAAACAAATCAAAAGAGAATCAAATTTTAAAATGAAGTATGCAATATGTGGAAAAGAGTGTGCATAACCGATTTTATTTTATTTTTCCTAAAGTAACTTATTGGCTTTAGGTGTGTTATAATCTATAAATGACTCAACATATTAAATTTTGGCTCTAATGTTCCAAGAAAGCGAAGAAAATATTTTGTTTTTGCTTACCTTTTGGCCCCTGGTTTGAGGATTGAATTGAATTGATAACAAACGAGGCCTATAGGTGACTGTAAATTTTTCATTTTGAATGAATTTAGAAGAGGATTAGGCATGAGAAGGTATTTGGGCCTAAAATGACAGTTTGGGCCGAGGAGGGGCCGACCAAAGAATAGTGAACCTTGACTCAATGGATATTCTCCAGGCCAATGGACTTTCAGCCCCTGAATAGGGCCGTTGCGACCAAGTTCTCATGAAGAAAGGACTTTTGAAGAGATTAGTTAGATGGATTGACCAAGTCGTTAAATTGCCAGGAGATAAAACCTTGGATAAATATAAATTATCTCAATGATCAGAATGCCTAAGTAATTGGATAAAGTTGAATAAGTCTCATAATGAGATCAAATTCAAAATCCCAATTGAAGTAAAAAAGTCGAGGCTGGTTGGAGGTGAAATCTGGTCACTAAAGGATAAGGGGAATATTTAAGAAGATGTCAAGTATAGTCCTATCAATACTCTACCTCGGCAAGCCTATTTATCGCATGGGCTTTATCTATTTATTTATAAATAAAGAAGGTTCTGCAATGAAAGTAGCCCCTTCAACTCAACAAACAACTCAAAACGCTCTCCGAGAAAACCCTTGCTCAACACGCAACCTTTATCACATTTTTAAGAAAAGCACTAACTATCCTAACCTTCTTGTCAACATATCTTGAGTTTGGACGAGTGAACAACACTATTTTGACAACAGCGATACCTTCAGTTCAGATAAGTTAACAACATTGGAGTCGTAGAACCAATCGATTTAGGAGCACCTTCAATTCGGATTAGTGAACAATACTGCAACTGGTTAGTTGGTTATCTATCCAAGTCTTGGTAGATGGATAATTCTTTATTCTTCAGTCTCAAGAGGTTATCTCATCAGCTTCAGTGAAGTGAGGTGTTCCTCAGTTATTCCACGTTCGACACCATGAAAGCCGAACCAATTAGTGAAGTTTGCAATCATCTAGTAGCATTGTCTTTAGGTTCTAGAACCTAATCCTGAGACATGTTCCTTCCTCGACGTAATCACTTCAGCGCAGAAGTCAGCTGCGCATTCGAAACCACCACCACCGGGCTCAATTGCGAGTTGGTACGCCCACATTCACAAGAAGGACATAGTTAGTTGATAGTTACACAGTCATGTAAGCTTTATAATTTTTAGGATCAAATAGAAAGATTGAAATGAACAATTTCTCTTCTAGAGTAATCTATCTTTTGTCTTTAATGTGACCGTAACTTTTTTTCATTTCGCTATTCAATATACCTTAAAATAATGTTTTTTTTTTTAAAAAAAAAGGGGGGGGGGACAACTGGTGGTAAGCCACGGTTATCCACCTTTTCTAGGAGCCGGGAAAACTCAGGTCATCTCCAACTGAAAGAGAGCCAAAAGGCCATGTTTAGGCCTATAGCCTTGTAAGAAATTGTATTTTAATGAACAGTATCAGACCATATTTTATATCATCTCCAACCGAGGGGGCCAAAGAGCCATAGGCCAAACATAGCCCTTTGTCAAAAAATCATCTCCAACCGAGGGGGCCAAAGGGTCATAGGCCAAACATAGTTTATTATTTTAATTGAATTAATATGGTTAATTGAATTGAACTACCATATTAAAATAAGGTTTTTGGACATATTTTAAGTGCCACTTGTTGCTAAATTAATAAGCCTTCGGATTTCTTATCTTTATAGAATGAAAAGGATGTGAAAATTGGTGAATAATTGAAATAAAATGAGGTAAAATAGTATGGAATGGTGAAAAAGACGTGAGAAATGGGGTAGAATTGGCTTAGGTATTTATAAAAAAAAAATTCTATTTTTTTTTAAATTTCGTCAAAAGAAAAAAGAAAAAAAAAAGGAAGTCAAGCAGTAACCTTACGTCAGCATGTGTTTAGGCTGGGCTATAGGGCTGGCGAGATGGCTAAGGCTAGTGGGCTGACTGCTCTTGGCCAACCCTTTGGCCAGTTCTCCCATTTTTGGCCAGGTGGGGCCCACGAGCCTTTGACCTAGCCCTCAGTTTTTGGAAACGGTTTTCGTGTCAAAATGGGCTATTTTAGCCATATGGCCCTTTGGCTAGGTCAGTTAGGCCATCTTCAACAAAGGGCTAGCCAGAGAGCTCATTTTAGCCCTCTGGCCCTCTAAGATATTAATTTTTAATAAACAGTACAGGGTCATATTTACCTCTGTCTCCAACCGAGGGCCAAAGGGCTTGTTTTAGCCTAGTTACAAAAAATCGTCTTCAACCGAAGGCCAAACATAATTTATTATTTAAATTTAAAAACTACAATAGTAACTGGCCCAAAAAACCAAAAACATTATAACTTAAATTTAATGGATGGTTTAGGAATTTATAGGAAAAAAAAATTGAATTTTTAAGAATTTAAAAAAAAAAATTGGCCCAAATAAAAAAAAATTTGAATACAACGGCTAGTCATCTAGCTATAAATAGAAATATTTTTATTCTTTCAAACTTTCGTTTATGCTTATTTTGATCAAAGGACAAAACAAGGTTTCTTTGGTTTGGATTTTTATTGATTAGTCGTTGGATTCAAATTTTTGTTTAAGCATTCATGTCGATTATAACCGACATGAATACATTTATATTAAATATATAAATACATTCTTGTCGGCTATAACCGACAGGAATACTCAGCCCTCTGGCCCAGCCCGGATGGGCTGGCTGGCTGGCTGCTTATGGCCAGCCCTTTGACCCTTTCAGATTCTGTGGGGCCCACGAGCCCTCTGAACTAACCCTAGACTGGAGACGATTTTCGGGCTATTTTCAGCCCTCTAGATCCTCCGGTTGAAGATGGCCTCACAGAGGCATTTCAGCCTCTCTCTGGCCACAAGTCTAACTTCCACACCAGCAGTAGGTTTCGAACCCAAGACCTCCAGTTTTTAGTTTTTAAGAAGCCTCGTAATCCACTCTTTACCATTGAGCCACCAGCTCGTGGTTTAAAATAATAAGTTATTTATTCTCATGGAATCTTTCATACCAAACGTGGGCTTTAGGTACGTCTTGTAACTATACACTCCCATTATGCTATAGTGACCAAATAAAAATTTCAGAAACGGATCCTTTTCGGATCCCTTCCACCAAGTCATCCTCATCAACTAATCTGGATTCTTGAAATTTGATACAACGGCTACAAACAGAGACCCACTTTAAAAATTATAATAACTTTAGCCGTTGGATTAAATTTTAAGATCCGAATTATTTGATGAGAAGAACTTGGTGGAAGAGATCCTGAGATCATCGTTTTCCAAAAATTCCAATATATACGGAGAGTAGGTTTTCCTTTTACTGTGGTTTTTTGGTTTTTTTTTTTTTTTTACTGTGGTTATAATTCCTTAATTTTCATTTTTATTTCTCCTCTTTGGGTGCGAGCGAAGTAGAAAGAAATCAGGGTTTAGGGTTTCTCTGTTTGTTTTCCGGGAAAGTGTGGAAAATCTGGGAAACGAGGAGAGAGGGAATCCCTTCTATTCTGGGCTGTCCTTGTTTGTTTTCAAAAGGAATTGCGTGCGAGCCAAGTAACGAGCAGGGATTAGGGTTTCGCAAAAGCTTGAGCCTTTGAACAATGGGTGGAACTGGAAAGTGGTATTTCACAAAAGGGGAGATAGAAACGGAAACCCCATCTCGGAGGGACGGGATTAGCCGGATGAAAGAGTCGGAATTGCGGAGGTCTTACTGCTTGTTTCAGAGGGAGTTTGGGACGAAATTGAAGGTGGGTAGGGTTACGATTTCGACGGCGATGATGCTGTGCCACCAATTTTACATGCGGCAATCTCATGGCAAGAACGATTGGAAGATTGTTGCAACTTCAAGCATGCTTCTTGCTTGCAAATTAGTCGACGAAGTTAGGTTTTTGAATGACATTGTTTTCGTGGGGTACGAGATTGGGGAAAAATTCGAATCGAGTCAAAAGAGTAGTAGTGGTGGTAGTATTAGGCAGAGAGAGTTCTTCAGGAAGCAGAGGGATTTGATCTTGCTTGGGGAGAGACTTGTTATGCAAACAATCGGTTTTGAATTTGATCGAATTAAGCTTCCGTTCGATCCACTTGCTTCGGCTCTAAAGAGATTGAATTGTAGTAGCTCTGGAGACCTTGGTATGTTGGCTAAGAGTTTGATTGAGGAGTGCCTTCAAACCACATTGTGCTTGGAGTTCAAGCCCCATTGCATTGCAGCTGGTTCAGTGGCTGTTGCGGCCTGAAATTCTCAAGGTACCGATACCATCTACCGGAGTACCGCAGATGAATGGAAAAGTTTGGTGGCATGAGTTTGAAGTTTCGCCACAGCAGTTACGTGAGGTTGTTCGGCGGATGCAAGGTATGTTAACAAGGAAGGCAGATGGAAAACCAGCTCTGTGTCGTCCACCACTACCCAAGTCCAACAATAGGAATAACAAGGTCATTCAGCATGAAACTTCATCTAGAAACCCAAGTGCAAGTTGCAGTAGCTCTCAGTCATGTGTTTCAATTGAAGCAACAGTTGATTCGCATCCTACGAAGAAACAAAGGACGTCGTTGTGAATTTAGTTCTTTGTATAGGTTCAGTTGGAGTTCATGCCATTGTAGTTGAGCTAGCCATCTTCCTTAATCTGTTTATTGTTTCAGTGGGCATTGATATTCGGAATCTGATTCCAATAATTTTGTAATTTTGCTGATAGATGTATAGAGATATAGACACGAACCAGACAAGCAATGTAATTGAAGGGAAAAGAATTGAATGATTTGCTTCACTGGATTTCCAGATCATTAACTTGTTTCATTTCTTATCTTTTGGCACAAATTTGTTTCCTTTCTTGGACTTAAGTTAGGCTTGTTCAATGATGGGGCTTCATTTCTTAATTACTTTCTAATCAACGTCGTTAGCTGAGAATCTTCGTTTGTCCATCTGATCATCTTCAAGAAAAACAGTTTCAATCTGGGGTTGCGTACGCCATTTGTTCAATCATAAATATGTCTTAGCAGCTAGTGTTTAATGTGGTTATTTAAGCAACAAGAAAAAGAATAAAACATCAATGTTTAGTTTTGTTATGTAAGATTGAAGAAAACTAATAAAGTTTCACCAAAAAACATGTTGTGGTCTAATTTTATTCCTGAGGATCTGCTTGCTAATGAGTTTAGCCTACGCGTAAATTTCCCAACAACAACAAGCCTTTTCCCAAGTTCTAATAAAATTAAATTACAAAATAGTTGAAGTAAATATGAACAATAGATTCTAACCCAACATTCCGTAGGAAGCTGCAAACAGCAAAGTGGTGAGATTCTATCGCAATCCTTAATGTCCCGAGGAACCCTTCTTCGATTTTTCCCAAGCCCCTTTTCACTGTTTTTAAAGGGCTAATAGACATGTTTGGTTCAGTTGTTCTGCAAGACTGCAACCTAATATATGTGATATACTGATATTGGTACGTGTTGTGTACCTGTACGGTGTACCACAGAAAACCTGAGCTATTAGAAGCCATACATACTGTATCATTACATGTGGAGAATGGGAATAGACCAGTGATTTCTACAAGATACAAGCCAAGAGTAACTCGGACAGAGAGTCTTTTAAGAACAAACGAGAAACTGTTCGGTTTCTTTATGCTTTGTGATGCACAGGTTATGTGGTCTTTTACTTCTGCACAAATTGTGTCTTTATTAGTTCCTTCTATTTACGGTTTTCTCATTTGATTTTCTCCTTTTCTTGATACAAAAAGCGAGAGATAAAAATTTCCTGGCTGCTATGATCTTCTGCGCTAGTGCTTGCAGCAGATGGAAAAAGTGGTTTAGTATGCGATTTGATTACATACCATGAATTAATCGAACCAAACCGCTAATAATAATACATAGTGCATATAACATTCTCTTAATATTTTGCATGGGGTTTACAAGACTATTTTATGCTAATAATAATAATACATAATATATATTACATTCTCACCATCTCACTCGTGCGCGCGCACATAGGATGCTCATTTTCTCTCAAACACTCTTAGTTCCAAACCACTTAGAATGATTGAAATTATTTTTAGTATTCGTATCTTCATTTTGTGACTCTATTATTTGTGCATTGAATTTGTCAAATCTGCTGATGCTAGCAACTTTGACGTTGCTGAAATCTAATGTTGCTGTGTTGTATTTGTTGCTGCTGTCGAAAATTCCTGACAACATTTGCCCTTTCTTTCTCTTACTAGAAAGTGTGGAGTTTATATCAAACACTATATTTTTGAACTTATTTTGGTATCTGATACTTTAAAACTTTGGATAGCCTTTGTATTATAATTTTCGTTGTTGCAATTTTCATGGTGCTTCATAATCTCGGAGTTATGAGATTGAAAGTTTGAGACTTAAGTTATGGAATTATGTACTTTGAAGTTATGACATTGTAAAATTAATTTCCGAGACTGACAGTTTGATGGTGAATTAAGCAACAAAAAAAATGATGTTTCATAATTTTTTTTTGATTTGTGAGTTGTTGAAGGAAACTAAAAAGTGTCATTACAAATGCATCCGGATACCTAGTATTTTCTCTACGGCGCATATTTAGTGGACTTGTAGGGGTTGAGGTGCATGGCATTTCTCAAATCTCCACCGATTCATTCTCTAGAAATAATTAGAGGTGATTCAGTATGGGATTTCAAACCGAATATAGGATTCTAAATTCCAAATCGAAAATTTTCGGAACGAAAATTTAAAGATCAATCCCGAACCGAGATAAATCAAGACTTGATTTTGGTTTTTGGGATGAAATTTGAGGTTTTTAGGATGTGGGCTAAAATTTGGATTTTTGATCTGAAATTTTGTTGCCAATTGAAATTTAGGCTTTTTATCTCATATCAATTTGAAATTTCATATCAATTGCTAATTCATGCATACCAAGTCAAATTGACACTTGAAAGCTCCAAACAACTTAATTTCATACTTCTCTTTCTAATATAGTCTACCATCAAACTAATTAAATTCAACATTCAACATGCATGGAACCAAAATAAATATATATTTTTTCAGTTCGGTTTGGGATTCCCGAACCATTGAATATGTAATCTCGATTCCTGTACCGAATGGTGTTCGGGATTGGTTTGGTATGGATCTAGAGGGGAGTGGCACCCAATCAAAAACTTCTTCCCCTTGACCCGTTTATTTCACTCGACCCCGTTTAGCCAGCGCCCATATCCGATGCCCTCACGGCATTTTCAGAGCAAATGAAAGCTCCCCACCACTACCAAATCATTTTCCTTCCACTTTCCCTTCAATTTTCAACCAAACCCGACGAGATTTGAGCCTCGATGTGCGTTGGAACACCGACAGGTCCGAGGGTGTCTAGGTGTTGATCTTCCAATTGTGAAACGTTTTCCTTCAATTACCATCACCAAAACACTCATCTTGAGGCCTGGAACAAAGCCTAAACAATTATAGGGGCAGCGGAGCACCGAAGGTGATGGATCGAAGCCACCCATTTCTAGGGTTTCCGGCGGAGTTCGAGGGAAATTGGAGCTTTTTCCAGCCAAATTGGACTTGGCCAGAAGTATAAAACTTGCTCTACTCATTGACATCTTCATTTATATGAAATTTGGTAATTTTTGGAAATAGTTGATTTTTCCGACGAGTCGGGGCGGTCGGCCACCGCGTGGGCAAAGACACCCCTTGATCTCCCTAGGCTACAATGGGTGCCCCAATTTCATATTAGACATCCGATTGATGAAATTATGTTGTTTGGTTATATTTCCGTTAAGGGCCGCCACTTGGTTATTATATGATTCGACAATCCGACCATTGGATCGTCACCAAACTTTAATATATAATAGTACATAATATTTAGGAATATTAGGAACTGACGAATCGGGAATCTAACGTACGGATTTTCCCGGATGGGCTTTCTAAGTTTGTAAATCTAAGCGTCGGCATCCACTTAATTTTAGTGATTGGTGAAGATCCGACCGTTGGATTTCCGAAACTTTAGGATGTTGTTCTAGAAGCTTATTAAAACTCTTGGGAAGTTACGGATAGGAAATCTGAGGTGTGGATCTTCCGGATAGAGTTACATAGGGTTGTGGACCCTACCGTCGACCTTTGACAGACGGTGGACTTTTGATCAATGGGTTACAAATTATTCTAGAACATCCTTGGGGATGTGTTTTGTGTAAGTTACATGTTCTATCGATAAGAATTCTGAGACGTGATTTGATATTTGTTCTAGGCGACGATCATTCATGATGACTCGATATTCGTGCTAGGGAGTTGTAGTGCAGATGTCAGGTGAGTGTGTCTTTTCCTTTTTATAGTGTATATATATAATTGATAGTTTCCACTTATGCATTTGAAAAAGAATTTCTTACATACGCCTGGATTAAACTAAAATTTATAAGCATTAGCGAAATGATAGAATTTATGAAATTATTTTGGATCCTGCAGGATGCCTTAATCCAAGTTACGGCTTTGATGAATTTTATATTGACTATAAATTATGGAATATGCTACATCCTACGAGATGCACATGTATGCTTATAATTTTTGATGCCTTAATTATATTTATGGTCATGAATAGTATAATATTGGCTAGAATTGTTGAATGGTTGTGGCATGATTATACTTATGTTATTTGCTCATCATACATTGCTGCACCCGGTGTTAGTGCTCGCCCAGGGCCAGGGTTAGTATTTCACGTGTATGTTCACATATGCACCGCACGCTCGCCTTGGATCCAAGTATGTGCCAGTCATGTCGTATAGGTTGCAATAGGCAACTCCGACTCGTATGTGACTGCGAATAACGCCAGTCGTTACATGATTGTAGCACTAGAGCGTATATTATGATTACACCCAATCCTGTCGTACAGGTTGCATTAGGCAACTTCGACTTATGTGCTAGCATAGATTGATGAGCATCAGTTTAGTCGTACAGGTTGCATTAGGTGACTTCGACTTGTGTGCTAGCATAGATCGATGAACATCTGATTTTATTATGCTACTATTGAGATATTGTGATTGGCATATTTCTGGAATTATTGTGGATTTGCATTTGATTTCATACTTATACGTAGTATGATTTTCTGGAAACTATACATGTTTTACGGCGAGGGGTTATAACGCTTTGAAGTGTTTTTATTAAAACTTTATTTTCAGGCCCACTCACTCTTGTTTTTCACCCCTCCAAGTTTTAGTTGCTGAACTTTTGTATCGACGAGGATTCTTGGCAAATCTCAGTATAGGTGGCTACCTATGAT